GATAACCTGGAGAGGGTCAGAGAAGGGCTACTCGTATAGTTAAGGGCTTGCAGGCCAAGCCCTATGAGGAGAGACTAGGGCACCTGGACCTCTTCAGCCTCCGCAAGAGAAGGTTGAGAGGCGACCTTGTGACTGCCTATAAGTTCATCATGGGGGCACAGAAGGGAATTGGTGAGGCTTTACTCACCAAGGCACCCCTGGGGGTTACAAGAAATAATGGCCATAAGCTAGCAGAGGGCAGATTTAGATTGGACATTAGGAAGAACTTCTTCACAGTTAGAGTGGCCAAAGTCTGGAATGGGCTCCCAAGGGAGGTGGTGCTCTCCCCTACTCTGGGGGTCTTCAAGAGGAGGTTAGATAGGCATCTAGCTGGGGTCATCTAAACCCAGCACTCTTTACTGCCTATGCAGGGGGTCGGACTCGATGATCTATTGAGGTCCCTTCCAACCCTAACATCTATGAGGCATGGAGGCAGGGTAGAGATGTGTCTTTATAGACTAAGTGACTCAGATTTTTTTTTTAATATTAATATATTTCGTGTTCCAGGTCAAATCAGTTCCAAATCATATCAATTAATCTTTTCAATTGTTCCAAAAACCGTATTGATTTTGCAGGCAGAACTTAATTGTTCTCAACACCATGTATGGCACTACAGCTGGTGAGCATCCTCTGTCCCAGGCTCTCACCCTGGAACTTCAGATACTCCCAAATCTATTGGCAGGCATCCTATGTGGAGCCCCAAGCCCAGAGGTTTTGGGATTCAGATGCCCCCAGATACTACAGGCAAGCATCCTCCATCCCAGACTCTAGTCCAGCAATTTAGATACTTCCAATGCTCGATCTTAGCCAACTCTGAGATGCTTAAGCTTCCATGAGGAAGAGGTCACTTCAGGATGGAGTAATGTAAGAGAATGAGAAGCCCCCAGGTGATGCTTCCCATTTTGTTTGAACCCAAAGAAGGTACGTGACCATTTTCTGGCACTTCGTGGACCATGCAGCTCCTTCTGTGAGTAAGCAGATATCATTCCTGC